TGGCTTGGCCACGTGTTGCGTATGCCAGTCGACCGACTTCCTCGAAGGGCTCTTTTCGCACAACCACATGAAGGGTGGAAGAGATCTAGAGGTGGTCAAACAATGACTTGGCAGCGAAGTATGTAAGCCATTACCAGCAAACTCAGCTGCGCTGGTCACTTCCGTCTTCCTGGATGGGGACCCCGAGACGGGCCACATCAATGGTTAGAGACATTGTCAGACATGGCCCAGTCGCGCCCTCAATGGCGCTCGTCCATCAAAGCTATTGCCTTCAATGCATAGCTCCTTTTCCAGCCCCCGACCCTCACTTGACAGCTTACTGACAATGCTGGATTTATGCACCAATTTATCAGCTCCCCGCCTCCAATGAGCAGCTACCTACCCCCCCCCCAAATCATCGGTGAACGAATCTGCGGCAGCTACAACCACTGTATGACTATTACGCGGTTATTACTGCTTACAATGATGATGGTGATGAAATCTGCTTCAGCCTGCCCCACAGATTCCGCATATGACAGCTGTGACAGCTGCGAAATTTCTCGGATAAAATACAACCTGCTTCGTATGTGGGACCAGGTTATACAATACATCTGGCAGATCAAGCCATAACCACCACACCATGCGATGCAGTCCTCGTAGAAGATCAGTCGATCGGTGATTTAGAGATCCAGCCAATGTGCACGAAACCTTTGTATTATGCTGGGACTGCATGCCGAGTGCATAACGTCTCCATATCGACTCTGTCCTCAGTTATTGGTTTTGTTCTTGGACAAGGCAATCAGAATAAACATTTACTACATTTTCGTATTCATTAAAAAGTAAATTAATTTTGGATGACGCCNGCCTCTACTTGGAAGAATAAAACGGCACGAAACACATGGTCTGACTTGGTTGGAATTTATTCAAACCGAATCGAGCCCCGTTTGTATAGCACAGATAAACAGAAAGCGAAATAACATGCCCATTTTCAAATACAGTGCATCTTAGGCTGTGGAAATAATTAGCTTTGTTTAAATATAACAAATTGTTTTGACACTAGTTACCTTTGCATGAACCAAGATGCTTCTTGGAGGTGGGCTTTCATTTCTAAGTTTCTCCATAATGCTGAATTTTCTGCAAACAGAACCAAATCGTGAATATCTATTTCAAATGAAAACTGTTCAAAATCGCTCCACTCAATCATGTTGATTATAGTTGTCCGTAAGTTACTAGCTTACTTCCCCCAACCGGGTAACACCTTGACAAAACAGATGGTCTCGATAGAAGCATAACATTCTTGTTCTTTAAAAAAGACTACAGTTATAAAAAATTTAAAAAGGTCTCCGTCTCAGTTTGATTTCTCAATAGCGGTCGTCTTACGAATTAAATCTCTTATATCTGCACCATATGTTATCGTGACACGTAGGCAACCCAACCAGTTGCGTTACCTCATTTCCAAGGCGAACACCGCGAGAAGTTTACATACTACCTACACCTTATGGCCATGAATATTCCTATCCGTTGACCTCGTTGACACAATACTGGTGTCACCTGACACAAACTGCGGTATACTTGACCAGAAATAATATGCTGTTTGCTGTGAAATGTGTAGCTCCTCCCTTGGAATAAAAGTTTTTTGCAACTCCACAAACTGAAATTGTCTAGCTACTGCTTCAAATTTCCGCAAATATGCTCACTTTCAGAACTAAAAAGCTCCTAAATTATAGATTCCCTTCAAACAGATTGATGATGAAGTATAATTTTTTGGACCTGGCAGTGTTAATTTTTCCGTATTAGACTAGCATCTCAAGCCTAGAATTTGCCAAGAATTTCATGACTTAGCAAAGTAGGATCCTAAAATTTATTGACGACCTCACCCCCTATCCATTTGACCAGCTTAGGCTTTTTTACCAAATTCTGTAGAGCATATCTTGTTCCCTGTGTGTCCTTCGGTGAGGCGGGCATGTACAAGCAGGTACAAAATGAACCTGGAACGAGGCTGCGTCGTCTGCAAGACTGGATAACGCAGTTGAGCACATTTGCTCCACCCATCTTCTATGCCCGAGGACCATTTCCCTACCGTACCCCAGTGAATACCGTAGGTAAGTCAAATTATATAATCAAAACTCCGATCGCTTCCAGAAAACCGCTGTTTACTGAATGTTGCTGCGTTTCAGCTCACCTCACGTCAAACTGGCATTATTCAAAAAGTTGAGGGCCGATATAATATTATGAGATTAATATTGTTTAATTATTATGTATACGATAATATTACATTAATATCTTGAGAAGATTTGGGACAATCTCGGACAATCCCGCCAGTTTCTCGTCTTATCATATCGAGCAAGACGTAAAATATTTTTTACTGTTTTTTTTCTGAACACCTCATTATTTGATAAACTTGGCATGATCTGCTCAGCTTGCTTTCATTATACCTTGCTCAATGTGGATTGTCTACACGGGGGAGGCAGCAAGCTGGAATCATCCTTAATTTGTGCTTTCGAAGGAATTCAATGGAAAAGACAGATTAACAAAACTCGAACGGACTATGCCTTCACGTACATTTGTTGGTCTTTTTAACTCCGTTTTTAAATGATTTCTCTTCTTGTTTTAAATAGTTGGCGCACCTATTCCTTGTGAGCGCATCGCCGAACCAAGCCGGGAGGAGGTACAACGCATCAAGCAGGTCTATTTGGATAGATTGCAAAACTTATTCGCACGATACAAGCCAATTTTCGATCCGGATGCACACGATATTGAATTTGTTTGAGGTAGAACCACCCAGATTTAGGACGTCACTCAGGATTACCAAATAGACCAGGGTACTACATGAATTCGCCCTTTGTTCCACGAAATCGTCCCTTCCTATTCCGCAACATTGACGGTTTTCGATCGATTCTGTTGCTCTGATTTGCCCTGTATACCGAAAATTTCACTTTTTTAAATCAATAGTTGCAAAAATGTTAACTTGACGTCTTCAAGTAAGGTTGGTCAACCACGGTGCCATGCGTGGAATGAACGTACTCTGGAAAACTCCACGGTGAACAGCCCATAATTACTGACAGGTTCCTTGTGGTTGTTTATCAGTGGTGATTTACCAGTGTTAAATAGGTTGATAACCATGAATTGTGATAACATCCCACAGAAGTCTATAAGTCACAGAACGTTTTCCGTTTTACGGTGAATAGCTTCCTAAAGGTACAATAAAAATTGCGGAAATATTAAATAAAAAACAGCAAGTTTGAGAACTCTACCTTCCCAGATTCCGCTGGCCATCTCGTTATAAGTGAATGAAGGTTTCTAGGCTTCGTAATGTTGTTGGCTTATTTTTGGCTTGTTATATTTTTAATCTCACTTTAAGGTAGGTTTCATGCCAAGCCCACTTGGTTCATGCGATCTCCTGTGTACTATCTAACATCAGTTTTTCACGTCCTTTACCCAGCCTGAGTACCTTTTTGTCTGTAGTTGCAGAAAGTCCCCACTTCATAGTTCCACAGCCAGCAAAAGTATTGCATTTTTGCTCACTGATTTCTCCTCTAACTAAAGCGAGAAACCGAGGATTTAGACGTCAGTCGAACGAATCTGACATACTCCAGTCTGACTGGACCAAAGCAAACCTGTAGGTTCATTCATATTTCACTCGGCTGCATACTAGTGTGCAGCCTGTATCCGTATTTGTTCAACAAGGCAGTTCGTTTAAAAGGTCTGCTTTTTCGGCAGACCCCGGGGCCGCTGCACCACAAACCACTCAAGCCTTCAATATAAGGTTACCGAATTGTCAAGCGGAGAGTTGCTGGTCACTCATCTTGACAGTAAGGAGTTTAAGTGACTTCTGAACCAAGACTGTCGCTCATTGAATAAGACTTATCCTTTGAAATCACGGCTCAGTCGCAACCGAAAAATAGGATGGGAGTAGGAATATTTTGCTTCAAACTTGCTAAACCCAAGAATACTTAGGGATGGTTTTTGGAAATGTGGCATCTTGCCTACAAGTGGTTTGAAACAAAGCTTCAATGAACATTGAGCTGCACAAAGGTGTGAACGATGAGTCTTTTATTTTATGGTGTTTTCGGGACGCCTTCAAGTTTATCTTACTGATGGTCAGCGGTATAGCGGAAATGGAAACCAAATGAGAAACCAAATGACAATGTTCTAAATTGATACTGGATGTTCCCATCTGTGCGCACATTTTCCACCGTTCCTCTGACTTGGCTGTTAGTTGCCAGTTGTTGAGGTTTTTGACATGGAACTTCTGACAAGCGTAGACTTGACGATCGCGAACGTCAAACATAAGCATTGGGTTCGAAAGTCTACGGTACTATTCACAAAAAGGTAAACAAATTTATACGACAAACATCGTTTGTTCAAGTGCGTGGCGTCAACAAGTGCATGAGGCTGTCACTGCAGGTCCAGTGCAGCGTCGAGGTCCGAACACGAAACAATGGCAAGCGGAATATTGGTTCGACAGCGTGGATTGCGGTTTTCCCTTTCGAAGACAGCCTCGTGATTCTGATTGGCTGTGCGACTACACAGAAGTCATGATGGAACAAGTCAGGGTAGTCTCAGTAGACAAGGCGCGAACAGGCATACGTAAGCAAGTGGGTCAGCGACGCACGTTAACACACACATGCTACTACACCAGCGTGAAGCAGCGGCCTTTGCAGCACGGTGAAAGACGGATACAGATGAGAAATGCAAGTGGGAATCTGAAGTATATGGACTGAATAAGGAAATGAATGGGGGTAACTATCATGAGGTGGAGTGGGATTCACTGCCAGAACTAAGAAATGAAGTCCAACACCGCGATATATCTGGGTTGCTTGGGCGAACAAAAAATCTCAACGATCGAAGGGACAGTTACTATCCTAATTAGGGTCCATTCAAGCGCTAGAAACCCACACAAATTCGGTACTTTTGTCCCGCGTTCCTGGCCATGACTGACAGAGTTGCGCGCACTGTTGGTACATCTTGCACCCGTCAACGGACATTCACCCGTACTTTAAGTGGTAGTAAACAGGGGTTGTACCACCGAAAACGATCGGAATAGAGGGGATTTCTTTTTCGGTCCACGGAGAGTGGTCAAACGGATCACCATCGCCTGTGAAAATTTTCGCCTACTCCTTGACCACAGGCTGCTAAAGGAAGCTTTAGAGTAGGTAGTTCACTCACCCCACTGCTGGGGTAACTTTTAAGCTTGACCCGAGACATAGTTCGGCATTAGTTTGTATCACACCGTTGAGAAAATCTACGTTAATCCTAGGCTGTTTAGGAACTAGTGCTGCACCGACTTGTCTCATGGGTGCACATCCGTAAATTTTCGGTAGCTGCCCATCGACTGCTTTCACTGCCAGCACACACGGCTTGCATTCAGCCTCGTTCTGTCCCAGTCTCAGTGACATTCAAGCCCCTGTAGCACTCAAGCACAACTCCCTCCTCCCGTCTATCTCGATTATAGCCTCTACCATAGCCTGCATCTCAGCACTAATTGCAACCCACCACGTTAAGGACGAGTAAACCAATCCGTTATTACTGACACGTCGAATTGCGGCGACCTTGATCGATCTAGTGACGAAGCACTCCACAGTGGTAGCGCCAGCTTGTTTGGACTTGCCCTCAAGATTATCCCTTCATGCCAGCAAGCTATTCCGTTGACCGGTTCACTTCGGTCCGCAGGTCCTTCACTGGCAACTCGTCTCGCTTCTTTGCGACTTCACTAGGGTAGTGACGTGTTGGCCATTCCCTGCACCAGATCCTCCACGCTCCATTGGCCAGTTGTTCTTCCCAGCCAAGCATCGGCTGGACATATTCTACCAACTGGCCGGACAGTCATTGTTGGTGTAATATTCCTTCTATTCCCATGATCAAACTAGTGCAGCAAAAACGCCGGGTGCCATTCCGGTCTTATCGTGGCCGATTTGGCCCTGTAGCCACCAGAAGGTCGGTCGGAGTATCGAAACCCGCTATCCTAATTAGGGTCCATTCAAGCGCTAGAAACCCACACAAATTCGGTACTTTTGTCCCGCGTTCCTGGCCATGACTGACAGAGTTGCGCGCACTGTTGGTACATCTTGCACCCGTCAACGGACATTCACCCGTACTTTAAGTGGTAGTAAACAGGGGTTGTACCACCGAAAACGATCGGAATAGAGGGGATTTCTTTTTCGGTCCACGGAGAGTGGTCAAACGGATCACCATCGCCTGTGAAAATTTTCGCCTACTCCTTGACCACAGGCTGCTAAAGGAAGCTTTAGAGTAGGTAGTTCACTCACCCCACTGCTGGGGTAACTTTTAAGCTTGACCCGAGACATAGTTCGGCATTAGTTTGTATCACACCGTTGAGAAAATCTACGTTAATCCTAGGCTGTTTAGGAACTAGTGCTGCACCGACTTGTCTCATGGGTGCACATCCGTAAATTTTCGGTAGCTGCCCATCGACTGCTTTCACTGCCAGCACACACGGCTTGCATTCAGCCTCGTTCTGTCCCAGTCTCAGTGACATTCAAGCCCCTGTAGCACTCAAGCACAACTCCCTCCTCCCGCCTATCTCGATTATAGCCTCTACCATAGCCTGCATCTCAGCACTAATTGCAACCCACCACGTTAAGGACGAGTAAACCAATCCGTTATTACTGACACGTCGAATTGCGGCGACCTTGATCGATCTAGTGACGAAGCACTCCACAGTGGTAGCGCCAGCTTGTTTGGACTTGCCCTCAAGATTATCCCTTCATGCCAGCAAGCTAATCCGTTGACCGGTTCACTTCGGTCCGCAGGTCCTTCACTGACAACTCGTCTCGCTTCTTTGTGACTTCACTAGGGCAGTGACGTGTTGGCCATTCCCTGCACCAGATCCTCCACGCTCCATTGGCCAGTTGTTCTTCCCAGCCAAGCATCGGCTGGACATATTCTACCAACTGGCCGGACAGTCATTGTTGGTGTAATATTCCTTCTATTCCCATGATCAAACTAGTGCAGCAAAAACGCCGGGTGCCATTCCGGTCTTATCGTGGCCGATTTGGCCCTGTAGCCACCAGAAGGTCGGTCGGAGTATCGAAACCCGCTGTAAGGGCTCAGCCCATCTTCCCAAGTCTTCTTTAGGCAGTACCCAGGACCGCTTCAGTCAGATTTCTGAGATGAATTATCATGATTGCAAAATTATCTTGGTCGGCAATCATCCCAACCAACCAAGACATTTCCTCACATTTCCTGCTCCTCCACTAAAGTTCGTGAATTTCCGTCCTTCACGCTTTTCAGCCACTTGTCCTGCATTCACTTCCTAGCGACGCAACCAATGAAAGAAAAGCGCTGTTGAGTATGCACTTGCTTACTGACCAACGTGAAATAAGCGGCTATGTGCCACTCTGCCTCCAAGGCAAAACCTCATTGGTAAAGAAATTTTAAAAGTGTATATTCTCTCTCCTCTTACATTCTGTAAGTTATTTGAATATTAAACAATAGCGAATAAACACTGCGAAGCGATTTAAATGATTTCTATATCACCCTTCCATCAGGTGCAGCAAAGGCACACTGACACTCCACCAGACAGTACTCGTATGTTTCATTCGAAGTATACACCACTACACTAGTAGTTAACAGAAATTAACAGTAGTTATTGGTTGTTAATAAAAGGTCAACTCTACACCATAATTCTTCTAATCATGATCTCCCCCGAGCCGTACCAAGGTAGGAGAACGTTTTCTATTCTGCATTATATCTTGTGGCTGACTCGTGTAGTGGCTTAATATAGCGATTATAAAACTAATTAGTTTC